ACTAAGCCGCCGTGTCGCATGCCAGCCATGTTGATTCTGTGAAGAAGTCATACGTATAAATTGTTTTCACTATGTTTCTAAGTTCAAAGTTAAAGCTTAGACTTAACTGGTGGCTCTGCTTCTAGAGTCTCGAAACGGGTCTAGCTAGCCCGAAAAACTGAAGTCTCCTATCTTTCACAGCGACAGCCATTCTTAAACGTGTAAAAACGCACAGAAGTCTCTCTCTTTAAAATATCAAAAGTGCTATTTTGCCGGTAGTGCGTACCTTTATTGGTTATATTCAATGCGTGCTAGGCAAATAATTCAAAAACAGTAATGGTGAATTCAGCGAAGTTACCATAAAAACATTTTTCAAAAGGACCTCTGATCAGGCATCAGCATGGTACTTTACCAAAATAATACTATATAGTAGTTTAGTAAAACTACTCCTTATCGATGTGAAGGTCCATTTCGAGACCTAAACTAATAAGGTTAGTTATATTAGAATATACACATTTACTGTAAAGAAAGGACGCTTGAAGTCGTTGAGCCCAAATGGTAAAGTATTATAACTTTTTTTTTTTTAAATTTAGTTGTATTGCACGAACTTCGTAAGCGGCCAGCTAAATAAAAACTAAAACCTTTTGATCTGCGACCATCATACTTTGATGGAAATATTTTTGTCTTTGATCTTACGTGACTGCCCCGTAAAGGGCAACAAGCATCCGTTTGAAGAAAAGTGTGCAAACGGAGAGAATCAAAATAGCAGGATCTTATTATATACGCTGAATTATAATTGTATTTGTAATTCGTTTTTAACCTTTCTAACGTTTTTCTTTATATCATCTATAATAATACTATAACCTGTAGCTTAATAGATGTATTATATTTGATAACATCAAGCTCATGAGCTTAAAGTTAGAGAGAAGCGCCGCCATTCGCGTATTGTTGCTACGTAATTGATGTATTTTTCTCGTAGCGCTGTATAAACCTCTAGGAACTAAATTGTGTACAAGTTTTGTCCATATGTACGGATCTTCCGGAACCATATTCATCGTTATCATTCGATCTGGATAACTGCTAGATCAGTAATTATTTTCGTAGGACAAGGCGAACAGCGTTATCTTGCGCGACAGATCGGTAATTTTCTGCTCTGCTCTTACCCCTATCTTTGAATACTGAAGTTACTATAGATGACTCAAGTTAAGAGAAATTGCATCCATAAGAACCTAGAGCAGAAATGTTCAGCTATTAAATTTTCCTGACTTCTAAATGGGATCGGAAAACCGTCATCGGAGATTAGATCGAAGTTTGGCTTGAACAACCATGTTTGGCCTCCAATCTGGGAAGTCAGAGTATACAGTCACGTACAAAGCAAAACAATTCTTATGTTCGTTCTCCGAGTAAACGGAAGTACACCCAGAGAAATCGCGGAGTGAACGTGATCTTCTTCAGACAGTGGTTATTGCGGTGTCATCGAAATAAAATATTGCTACGCCATCTCGACCCTGGATTTCTTGTTTGCATATCGGTAAAAAGCACGAGTGTCAGTAAAGTCTGCTTGAGACTATTATAGGACACGGAATTACGTCCTCAGATCTAGCAATGGTGTACTTGTCGTGTTTGCTCTAGCTTCTTAACGGCTCACCAGCGCTGTGTAATTAGCGAACAGTCGGAAAAATAGGCTGATAGAAAAAGCACAGAATCGAGAAGGGTATGATACATTGACTAATTATCGTCCCCCAACAGGCAATAATACATCCGGCTCATGAGACAAGGGTTTATGCAAAATATAATAGTAGTCTTATAATTCGTTTTATCAAGATCTGGAAGTTATCTCAAATACTTTTTGAAATAGGTGAGGCAAAAACTGATGGCTTTACGATCGCTATGAGCAGGCGCGTCACAGTTATACGTTGCACAACCTCGCTAGTCTGACCGCGGCCCGACGTCCATGATATATCTAACAACATGCTGCTCTCAGCTCTGGTTGTTCGTGTTGATGCTTGCACTAATTTAGTTAAGATGGTGAATGGGTCTTGTCATCCCAGTCTAAGACAAAGGCAGAGGTCGCCAGTAGGTTTAAGAGGCAAATTAACGTGCGTGCCAAGCTAGATAGGACATCACCAAGAGTTCTTATCTCAGCTGAGCGTCATCAAGAACCTCACATAACACTGTCGCGGCGCGACAACCTCGCAATTTGTAAACAAGTTAAACTATAGCTAGGAACTGAAAACGACATTAGCAAAAGCTGAAACACAATGAGCTCTGGTGGGACGCGGCTCATTTACGGCACCAGGCTCTGCAATTTACCCAGGCCCAAAGAATAAAATAATGTGTTCACAGGTTTTCGTTGCTAGGGTCGCTAGAGTGTCGAAAGAGCATTTACTGTTTTGACCGTTACCCAGTGTGTGCTAAGCAGAAAGGAACAACGGAGAATTATATTGAGTACATGTCGGATCTATTGGACCAAGTGGTGATTTGAGCCAGGCGCTGGAAGCGGGCAGTTTTGTGGACACGCAATGATTGCGGTAAAAGCCGGTAAGCCAATAATATAACTAGCAATGGCGATGTCTATGGCATGACGGTGAACTTGACAAAGATGACACACGTACACAAACACACGTGAGCGTAGTTTAAGGGTTACCTTCACAGGTTTATTTTTGATCATTCTCTAAGCGAGAAATTTTAGAAAATTGTCGATCGAAGGCGATGATTGGCTAACATCAGTCACTATTTCACGGTATACCCTGACACTGATTAGTCTGCGGCTAGACAGGTACTCAACTACCGGACAACCGGTACGGTTGGTTTAAGTAAAACTTTTAATTTTATCACAGCCTAGAGGCGATAATCGAGGCACTCAAGAAAATGACGCTAAACTAATCAGAAAATACGACACTTTAACGGAACAAGCTTTGAACATCGCGCTTTGACTCGTTTATTTATTACGAGCACTCACAAATGGCCTACCACACTATCTTTCTCGAGTTGACAGTGGATTGAACGACGACAAAACATTGATGACGATGGCCGTCTGAAAATCCAGCTGCCTTTAATTAGAGACACTGAAGCGGGGCAAATGACATCCACCGTTGTGCCCAGTGGTTGACGATGCAGCCCATTGCAGCATGTTGACTCTGATGAGGCGCTGATGTCGTTGTTGCAAATGATTCACAAAGACGCCTGAAACGGTGGCCTCTGAAAGATAAGCAGTAGAGCAAGGGTTCGTATTATTTGTATATTGCAGTAGGAGTAATCGTTTACTTACTGAAAGGGACTCGATTGTAGTTGATGCCGTTAGGCAAAACAGTTTGTAACACGAAATCGCACTTTTGTTTCTAACGAGCATATTGCATTGCAGGACTGTTACATCCATAGGCCCGGCGCATGGCAACCCAGAATCTTATGATAAAACAGACTGTCAATTTTTGTCAGGATACAGCTTGGTAAAAGGATGTATGTTACAAGAAGTTGATTTTTGCATCAGGAGGGCCTCGCATGTATATGAGATCCTTACGGAAAGCATGGATAGTTTTCAACCAATGAGCTAAAAGAAACATCTGTTAAATGAATTGCTTACATTATTACAGATATCGGATGTTCGGAGATATCGGACAGCCTGGAAAGCAGGCTTTATAATGGAGTCCATTAACGAAATGGGCCTCATGTCGCCGATTAAAATAATTACAAATTAAATGCGATCTCTTCACAACCCAAATACCGATTTGAATCAATGCAATATTTCTTCTTGCGAAAGAAGCTAAGAAACTTCTGGCGGGCAGAGACAGTGTAAAACAAATGCCATTTATGGAGCCGCACTTTTGACGTTAAGTGCTTCAGCACAGAATTATGCAACTGTTTTCGCAACTGGCCTTCAATCTTCAATTTGAAAACCTGTTAATTTTACATAATCCATCTTCTAATACGATTTGTAGTAGGCAAATACTTTGTAAAAATACTGTTGGTTTTCATCTTCTTCTCATAATTACGATAGAAGCCAGATCCATTTATATTTTTGTGTCTTCTCTCTGTAATTGCACGTTGTCTCTGTGTTTTCGAGTTTCCCCTGTAATTTCGACTACCGCGAACAAAATGTGTGACGAATTATCTAATTATAACAGGACCAATGCGATAAAATGTAACCATTTTGTTATAGCTTGAATTCGAAGACTTCTAGTAATAGAACTGTCTTTTCGAATGTGCCTCGCTTACCCATATAGGCATTGCGAAATGTCAGTCCGTGAAAGGGTCGGTGACAATCAAGGCTATAATCGAAGGCATCGCAGCATCAACAGAGATGATGGCAGTGGCGGCGCGTTGTGGCGCCCCCTGAATCGAGGAACTTGAGTGAATGCTTACCATATGTTATGCCGCGTGTCAACCGCAATGCGAAGGGTAGTTACCAGCGACTCGCCTGGTTCTGCTGCCAAGTGTAAAGTCGTCCGAAAACGCCGACACACGATTGAGCGGTTAATGCTGCTAAATGAGCTTGAGTGTTACCGTGTCGTCAGATAGCAGCGCTATAGTACGTCTCCGCTATAGTACTCCGTTCTGCATCAGAGTGGATCAGCTGTGTTCAGATGGGAAGGTCCACTTGTTGAAGCGGAAGTGACATGCCCCCTATTTGACGTGGTCCTGTCACTGGAAAGGCCAGTCAGTCAGCCAGCCAGGGTTCGTGCTATCGCTGCTGCTTCTGCTACTATTACCAGCCCTATACAGGGCTCTGTCGCGTACACACTGCCGAAGGTCTCTGCCACCCCAGTTCTTTCCCCATCATTGCCAGTAAATGCCTTAACTAAACTGGAATAAGGGAGGGTATTCCGAACGGCACCGTTCGGGCATGTTGTCATGGAGACGTCGGCGTGGAGAGAACATTGTACGTAAGAGAGGGCTACAGGAGTCACATTGAGAGAGCCCGACCGTTGGTCGCCTCAGTCGAAGGGTGCCTCAGCTGACCGAGGGCTGTGTTGTATGAGTTGTGTTCCGTGCGGACCTGACAGCGCTGGCTTGGCCCTGCGCCGAGGCAAGGCGATATGTTGAGTGTGTAGAACGCATCAAACGCTACAAAGCTAGAACATAGCAGCAACAGAAAACATAACAGGGGGGGGGGTCAAAAGTAAAGGTAAACAATTGATTCAAGCAGCGAGACAGACGGGAAAAACAACGCATTGCTACAGGGATACTAAGGCAGCTGCCAATAACAACTGCGGCATCTACAGCGGTTTGATTGCAGCAGCTGAAGTTCCTTTGAGAGCGATCGGCAGTTTCTTTTCAACTCTACCTTTTAGCCGAAGCGAAAAATCGAAAAGGTGAAGAAAATTTTTGCTTGTTAAAGTCGAGTATATTTCTTTCAGTCCATTTATCGTTGCTGGTTTAACTTCTTTCAAGTTTCTTTTTGCAATGGCGACAACGCACGCTCACCCCACCAATTTTTACTGTTCCTGCTGCTGCTGCTGTTGCTGCTGCTGTCATTGTCACGTTTTTTTGAGGTGCGTGCCGCGGCCGCGGCTAGTTGATTACGCGCCTGTTTGCGCGTTCACCTTGAAGCCTACGACCTACGACAAATCGAGTATTTGTTCGATTTGCAGAGCTTGTGGTAGTTTAGGCTAGCTGAGTTCGTGCGATAACATGAAGTGAGGTGACGATTCAAGTCCTCGTAGCACTGCGTTCGCAGCAGCGGCAAACAAGCAGTAGCGAAGACGGATCGCGAATTGAAAAATCGAAGAGCAATTATAATCACAAATAAAACAATTAAACATCGCCAAAACATTCGCGAAAGAAGGAACACGTGCTATTGCCTCGTGTGACAAACAATTCTTATCGAAGTGCCTCTACGAATGTTACTCGTGTGGTCCAGGACGACAACAGACGCGAGGATATCATCGGTGATCTTAGTTGGGACGTGAAAACGGAAGAAAAGGTGTCAAAGAACGTACAAGGAACGCTGGGCGTGGTGTGGCCAGGTGCGAATGGTCAAGATTAAGGGTACCAGCCGCCAATATAGTAGAAAAAAAAGTAGGCAAGAAGAAAAACTTCCAAGAAGAAGAAGAAGAAAAGGTGGACGAACGGCCATCAAAGAGGCACACTATTCTATAGGGAACCAGCACCAGCGCCATCCGATCTTTTCTGTTTTTCAAAGCCAGCATTATCCGGTAGCAAGGACGACCGCGTTCAAGATAACGACGTCGTCGTTGCTATTTGCTAAGCCGGGTACACAGCATCTGGCAGCATCACCAGTTTCGTCACGGCGCTCTGTTATGTGCTGCCGCCTGTCGAACCTCCACGACGAGCGACGGTGGCGCCGATCACGTTGAGTTCCGAGTGCAGCAGCGATAGTAGCAGCTGATAGAAGACTGTTTAGATAGCCCACTACCCCCGACTAGTGCAAAAGGCCAGACGAAAAAAGAAATGTGCACATGTGTCAGCTACTAGCGAGGACGTTGATGCCAGCAGCATAAACACCTGCACCGAGTTCGGTGTGTGACTAAGCAAACAAACGCAGCAGACACAGCAACAACGCACTTGGAGAGGACGACGGTGACGGAATAGCAAAAAAAAAAAAGCAAAAGGGGCTAAGGAACGCTCAAGAAAGGAGACTATATACAGCGAGAAGGAGATCAGTGCGAACAACAACCAGGAGAGAGCCAAAAGCTATTCATCAGCTAAACCAACCGCAAACGTAGCCGCTAACGCATTAGTAGAGACGGAAAGCGAACAGAAGCAAAAGCCGAAGCAGTGGCAATAGCAGCTACAACCCCAGCAACAAGAACTCGAGATGCCGCCGAAGATGGAGCGTGGTGGCAAGCCCGCACAGCAGCGCACGGAATCAAGTAAGTCGTTGTTTTTGTCTTGGTCAGTTAGTGGTGCTAGTGGTAGTTGTTGCCGTATTACCTATCGTAGTTCATCTGAATCTAATCTTCTCGAGCTAACCACTGTCCTAGACAGTTTAGCTGTTCAGCGCCTTTGCCCATGAGCGTGCATCTCTTTTCTTTTTCCTATTAGACACATAGAGGTAGGCTATAGCAGATGCGACCTGGCCTAAACATCGCGAGTTCTGCTTGGTTAGCATTGGAAAAGCTCCTGATGAGCTAGTGACCGGCCCAAGCTGTCTTAGTAGTCGACAATGACGAAGGCCATGTGTCACAATGGATGCCCGCCCGCCTGTTCATCGACAACACCCGAGACCGGAACTTTACGTTTTCGTCTTGTTTGCTTCATTTGCATCGCCTACGTTATTAACGTTTCAGCCGCCATTGGCGCCTTTCGTTGCTTAGTACAATTGGCCGCTGTAGTCCAGCGAAGCAGGTCGTCTGGCCAGGAGAACTATTCACAAGAACGAAAGGGGTAAAATAGGAGGTAGATCGTTGGTGAGAACTTCTCTCGAATGAGGCCTGTTCAACTCGAGTCTCGCTGAGACAGACAGATAGACCGACACCAACACTCACATCGAGGAGTCAACCGGGAGAAATACACCCAGCTCTAGAAGTCTGAAACTGCTACTCGATGCCAAATACTGCCGAATTTACTGGCAAATTCTAAAATTTAATTTGACTTTTCCTACCCAAAAGTCGTCGCTGTCACACTTTCGGACTAATGTTAGACATCTGGTAACCAAGCTCGACCAAACGGCAATAAAGTCGAAAATAAATCGGTTGATTCTTTCAGCCATCTAACTATTTTGTCACCGATTTTGGCAAGCTTTTATGCCATAGCGGGGTAAACGGTAATGGTCAAAACGACCCACCTAAGCAAATAGATATAGATTTGTGTTAATTGACTAACCTAGATAATAGTACATTAAATCATGGCGGGAATTACGCAACACTCGTTTCGGTAAATACTGTTACTATGCGGTTCCTTTGTGTTAGTATATATCAAGCGATATTATCGAACTGAGCCATTTCCTTCTTAGATGCTCATAAACAGATGGGGGTGATTGTCTCAATATTGCAACAACGAATAAAATCAAGAAAGCGAACGGGGCAGCTTAATGGCAAGCGTGCGTAAGCAGTCCTCTGCTGCCGTGGTGGTTAAGGAGGCTAGTATGATTGAACGGTTTGCCAGCGGCCAGTTCTAAGTGCCTTTCTAGCCGAGAGTGTTTGTCCTGGGGATCTTATGGGGACGAACGGCCCGGATCATGGCGAGCACTGCACCGTGCCAGCGACAGCGACCAGAGGATTAACAGCGCGGCGATTATTGCAAGGCCGGCTGTTACATTTGATCGAGAAGAAAGCCGCATTTGATAGCCTCGAAGTACTGGCCTGACCCAGGCCTCGCCAAACTGCGCGCACTGCCCAATGCTAATGACTCGCAACACAGACCAACTATGGAATTGTTCGAAAATCGTTTAGTCGCTGGCTATGCCGCTGTTAGCTTTGCATGCAGAAAAGGAGATTTTAATAAAGGCTAAACATACATTAATAAATTGTAGCTTTGAAGGCAAGTAGTTCTAAATTTCACCACTAGGAAGAGAAATATGACGTAAAAATATCTTGCTTTTCTATTACCAATACACATAGTTGCCAACTTATGCACTTCCAAGCTATTTATGGAGGTAGGAATGACATATGAAAGCGTACATTATCATTGAGCAAGACGATAGAAATTTTCTATTCAGAGATCTTCATAGGGCGTGTTAGAGAAGTGAAGCTTTAAAGTGAAGAGGTTGAAAGGAGTCTTCTAACAAAGAGGATCAAACTTGATGCGACCCATTGATGTCACTTGATTTCAATTCTGTTTTTTCCCCATGTTTAGCACATGTCAATTAGTGAAGATGCATAAAGGCGGGCTTTACTGATCGATTGTCCATGACCAAGCAATACAATTCGCTATTCGACAGTTGGTAATATATTCTTTAAGGTTACCTAATTTTTAGCTCAGTGTTGTATGAATTAGTCTCACTTCACTTTTACAACTGCGACAATTAATGAAATTATTACACCTTTGTCGAGTCTTCCAGCTGAATCTTGCCTCGTTAATTGAAGAGCGCGTCAGCAGTACAGCGGTATATCTGTGGTACGTTTAGCAGTATACGTGTTGTTCAGTATTTCATTTTGTGCTAAAACGTTAGCTAGGTGAAGGGAAAGGATTGGAGTCCACAAGTGTCCGCACTAATTTCGACCGTTACGAGGTTTGAGACGGGACGGTTGTGGGAAGCCGGAGCGCCGAGGAATAAGTGGAATGCACAGTTCGTACAATTACAATTTGGCTTGCAGCCAAAACCCTTCAGAACCCACTTCCGCTAAGCAGAGAGGCTGGCAGGGCGGTTAGTAGCAACAATCGAGTCAATTGGTGGGGCTTTCCAAACTTCCCCACGCCGCCCATCGCTCTAAGCCCGTTTGGCCCTTACGCCCCTTCACCTATCCGCAGCACCATCTGACGGCTAAAAGTCTTGGCAACGAGTGTAGCAACAAATGAGCTAGACGAAAGCGCGATCGCCTTCTGCCGTACAGGGGACACAGTGCGGTCGGCCTGTTGCATCAGCCCGACTGAATAGATCGGGTGCGCGTTTATTTGCTTTGTTAAAAATCGATGTGAGAAACTCAATGTGAAAGATGACCGCTCTAAAGCCGCTTTATCAAAATTGATTACGACTGAGCCGTGGCAAACAATCAAATACATCACATCTGATATTTCTCTTTGTTTTTATCATAGGTGATATTTTTTGGTGAAGTGAAACATCGCATCAATCAACTCCTATGAAATACAAACGGGCCGACCAATATTTTCCAGTAGGGACTATAGTTTCGATTAAAATCCTGTATTCGGTGGTATAAACAAGTTTGAACAGTCGGTAAAAAAATCCTGCTGATAGCTTTACCTATCCACCCGTTCGCGTGAATCCGTTACTCAAAAGGGGCTAGGATATCAAACGTACTATCACCATATTACAAGTTTAATACGAATGCCTCAGATCGTAGCGTTTCCTTATAAGTAATATTGCAAGGGGACAAGTCAAGAAGCAATTTTATCTACAAGGGTCTACTATTAGGAAACATATCATATTTTATCGGTACGAGTACACGAGAAAATTCAGATTTCGGTTGTTTTCTGATGATATTCTGGTCACATGAAAGTAGTAGGTCGTTCAGTCGAATCAAATCACTGCTCCGTTAAAAGGATGACAGAAAATTTATGGGTTGTCTGGCTTAAGTCAACAGATAAAATTGTCCGGTAGGCGTTGCTCGAGACCCAAAATGGCGGATAGAAAATAGTAAGTTGCTGTCAACTTTCAGCCCGCTGTCAACTAGCCATTGAGTGTAACTGGACGTTAATTGAGTGTAGTTACCGACTCCTAAGTGATTAACTATTAAGAAAGAACTTTCTCTATAGAGGTGAAGAAAGACGCAGATGGTACTATTTTCACATTATTTGATTAGGTTGCTAGAAAATACATCGCGATTTTTCTCTTTCTATCATTAACTGCTTGTAAAATAAGTGCTTTTTGTCTGTTGTTGACAGTTTGAAACAGTTAAGCTTCTAGAGGCAGCTGCATATGGCGTATACGCAACTCCGCCGATTTAGGTGAAATGTGCTAGTCCAAACGACTAGCTTTTATAGCGAGCTCAAGCTAATGGGAGCAATATTTTAGATTGCCAGACGATATCTAGCGAGGCTTACGTTCGATACTGGCGTTCAGCCTTGCTTCGAACTACTGAAGTTCAATACGAAACGAATTTCGAATCTACATTTCTCACATGTACGCTTAGGCTTCATGCGCAGATGCGTTACTTCTCAACTAGTGAGGTAACCGTTTATTGATTTCAATTGCTTTACCGTTACGACTACGGTCGGTATAGTTGAAAATTGTACACCACCCTAGTCGTTCTTATTCTATCGATCACAGTCGAGTGCCGTTTAATCATTACCGCTACTGTTTTCGCCCTTCCTTTCAATGACTAGCCTATTCTTTAACAAGGTGAGTTGTATAGATACCTTTAACTATTTTTGTCTGCTCATTAAATCTCTTTCTTTATTCTACTTTCTTCTGGGCTTGCCCTCGTTGTTTTCGCTGCCGGCAACAGCCTCTTTCCAGCCTGTGCTGTTGTCTGCTCCTTTTCCCTTGTATCTCACGCCCCATATCTTTTTCTCGAACCATAGCTATTTTATTACAGGACTAGGTGTTTACTCTCAGGTGCCATCTGAGTCGTCTTTGCGAGCTGCGCTACGCCGCCTGCCGGCCTTCGCTGGCTCCCGGTAGGACTGCCGCCGCCGCTGCCGCCGCTGCTGCTGCTGCTGCTGCTGCTGCTGCCACCATCGTGACTCTCGAAATTGTTGCCGCTTAAAGTACTGGCCTTGATCTAGCGCGATGCGTGTGCTTGCGCCATTGCCAAGAGCATGGTCTGATAGCACTTGACCTATTTTTACTTGCTCTCGGGGCGTAGAGAATAAAGCAAAGACCCGTTTCATTTTTCAATAGAACCTTCAAAACGGAAGGCTCAACCTTTAAGTTGATAACTCCGCACTGGACAAAATCTAACGAGTGCCAGATGAGGAAAAGGTGAAATATTCTCTAAGTATAGACATACACTTGGCCACTGTCAGATACCTTTGACTGACTCACTACACTCATAATTCCTGTCTTCTCCAGTCATTTTTCAATCGTTGCACCGTGCAGTCTCGGTTCACTGCTCCGTCCTAGCTAAAACAATAAAAAAAGTCCTAAGCATATATTGACTTTTCCGGTGGCCAAGTGATTATATCAGCATCTGCTAAATTCCTGTGCATACAGGTCTGAATAATATCTTCGCAGAAATGACTGATCACTTTCGTCGATCGTTACACAAACCCATTGCAAATGCACGATTTCGTAATCAGGAAATACAAGAAT